TTAATTCTTGCTTGATTAGATTGATACATCTCCTCTCTTTATATAGAGAGGTTTACTTGACTTCCAAGCAAGGCTTACTTGACCTCTAAGCAAGCAACCCTTATCTTTAATTAACCTTAAGACTAATGGGCTATACCGCCAGCCCAGGCCCATTACATACTCTAACAGTTAATTCTGTGGATGGATATCAGATGCTGTTTGGGTGTAGCTTCCGGAGAAAGAAGTATACTACGCTAGCTTTTCCCCCCTGAATTCAGATTAGTATAGTATTAAAATTGGGAAGCATTCTATTCTACGCTTCTACGAAGGAATCACGCCGAAGCAGAGTGAAATTTCAATTTACTGCACATGCATTTTGCAACTGAACAATGCCCAGATGTCCTGCTTGTTGGTTTTTACAACTTGAGCAACTTGCATGCTGATAGCCTCGCAAAGACTTGTATCCCACGCTCTTGTCTAAACTATTTGGATTCTTCCATGGAGAAGTTACAGTAAACCATTTGCAATAGTTTAAGCTAGGCACACAAAAAAAACATCTTGGAGCAGCAACTTCCAAACCTTCTACTGGTGTGTGAAATTATGTTATTCTGTTCACGAGTGAATGGACGGCATAAGCTGCAGTTTGATGTGTCGCTGCTGGAGAAACAAGAAGTCTATGAATGCCAGAGTGCGGGCTTATGGCGGCCGCGCACCAGGCAGGCCGTAATCCCGTGCGTCCTTTTGGGCCTAGGGATCTGGAATTTCGTGAGCGCTGGTCTGGGCTGCGTCAGGCCTAGTGGCTGAAATACGGTCCAGGATACACCTACCCGCGACATAGGCGTATTATGTTCGGCCCATCCCGCGATCCTGTGCTATTCCTTTCACCCCACGTTAGAAATCTTCTGGAGTAGAACAGAGCCACGCGATAGCTATTCCTATTCCTGGCCCATCCTCATCGATCCTTGGGTCAGTTTTTTTGGGCGGCTTAAAAAATAAGCTGCCTCTCCCTAGCTTAAAAAATAAGCCACCCTCAAAATTTGTTAAGACTTCTAGATTAGTGATTTCATAACTAATTTAGAAGCCCCGATGAATAAGAGAGTCGGCTTATGAGAAAAGCTGAGGAGGAGGCAGCTTATTTTTTAAGCTGCCAAAAGAACTGCCCCCCCCCTCGCCCAGCCCCCCACCCCCCGGTCCCTCTCTCTCTCATCGGTGCGTGGTTCTCACGGTGGTTGTCGTCGGCGAACGCGCTCCCCTTGATCCGTGGTCAGGAGACCGGGTGCATCCTCACCCTCTCACGGCTCCTACGACCGAAGGGACGGCCGGAGCGCTCGTCCCCTTCTACTCCGACGGCCAAGCCACCGGGATCCGGCGTCAAGTTCTACTCCGGCAGCCGGATCACCTCGGGTTTGTGGAACACCAGATCTGTCCAGCTCAAGGTCCTTGTCCATGGATCTTGCCAGGAAAAATCATTTTCTCCATTGTTTCTGTCGGTGAGGCTAGATCACATGTTATGTGCTTATGCTTTTCTCCTAGCTGGTGTTCATTTGTTCTAGATTTGCACGTTTTTAAGATTTTAATTGTGTTCCTTCTATTCCTTTGGTACCGCTGATTTGGCTGTATGGTTCGATCGAGATTTATATCATTTGTTCGGGAGAACTATGTTTGTTCCATTCTTGTGTCAATTTGTTTCCAAACCATGTGCATCTCATTTTGCAGGGAGGGGAAATCCTCTCTTTGACCTGCTCTATGTAGTTGCTGGCAATGATTTTCAGATTTTGCGCATGGTAGCTAAAATACAGGGTATAATTTTGGTGTGGATATGTTGATTTCAGTAGGGAACATTTTCTGAGGGTGTTCAAGTATAATTGTTGGATGTGTCACTAGATTATAGTACTGTCGCTGGATTTTTGCTTGGATTTAGTTGTTGGAATAATGCACGCCCATGGATAAATTAGTGTGTTGTGGATTATATTAAATTCAGTAGGGATTCCCTGGTCTGAGGTGTTGTAGTACTAAATGTTGGCTTTGTCACCCCCAACGAGATGATATTTTTGATTGGACTCGTTGCAGTGTGAACAAAGTTTTAGCTAAATAGAGAACTAGTCCACAAAGCATGCATAGTTTTGTTATCTGTGACTGGATTTAGTTGTCGGGTTAGTTGCTCCCATACTATTTTAGTGTTGTGGATTTGTCAATGTGCATATGCCGAATCTAGTAGGTGAATACTAGGGATGAGTCTGGGTTGTTTATTTTGTTTGGAGGCATTTTTGTGAGATTTTCACCACTTAGCAGCATGATTGTTTGTGAACTTGTAAGCAATTGGCATGGTAGTTATCAAATAATTAAATCTAAGCTTGTTTGTCATCAACCCCATAGATCGAAATCTGTTTTGCAGTTTCAATTTGATTAGTTAAGTCTACATAGAGTTTTTGTTCATTGTTCTGTCCATCGTCTTATTAACTGAATAATGATGTGTGATTGCTCGTCTATTCAATTTGATTAGATCTCTTGTTATCATTATGGATTTATGATGAGCCATATTTTTTTTCAATTTCCTCAGTAGCTGCTAATAAATGTAACACGAGTGAACATACATTAGGGTTTAGGGTTCAGGACGTTTCTCTTTATTTTGTTGGTTAAAAGACTAGAAATCATGCAGCCTTAATACTAAACTGTATGCAGATTGTGTCTATTTGAGCTCCAAGATTTGTTTAGCCGCCTCATTTTTAACTCGTCTTCTCATTATGTCTTCGTGGTGAGCAATAATGTGTTTTCCCACTTTCCACTCTAGTTGTTAATGATCGTGACACCAATGCACATGCATTATGGCAGGGTACAAGCTATTCCTTTTTGGTTTTGATTTCAGTCCTAAAATGGTGTGGCCTGGACCAAAACCTTATGTAAATTCTGTTTTATCTAAGGAGTTATATTGTCAATGTGATTTGTTTGTAATGAGCTGAAGGTTTTCTTCTGTTCTGATTATCCCTTGGGTAGTTAGCTACATGTGCTTTGTTTTGTTAATAAGGAACAAGACAGTATGCACGTTATATTCCCAGGGTGAGGATTGGCAGAGCCTTTGTGGAGCGGGAGGTCAAGCCTACACCGGAAGAGCGCTTTAGAACCTAAGACAAGCGGGATGGTCAAGTTGTAAACCCTGTCATTGTTTGATTCCCTAGATGAAGCTTACCAGTTCTAAATGACGCATTCTGTTTATATTTATAAACACATCCTGATGCATCAACCATCGTTTCTTTTTATTGTTATTTTACCTATGTGAATGCATGGGCTATTAGGTGTGATTTGCATCAGTGCATAAATTATTGACAGCAGCCTCCAAATTCAGAATGAACACAATAATTTGATCCTTAAAATTTAACCAGGTTAGGATATTTAGAGCACCAGAGGGGGTTGAGATGAATCCTTCCAATGGAGCTGCTCAGCATATTAATTATGCCGATAGTTGGGGTGAATCCTTGAGATGGTCCAGTTGTCAGCCCAACTATCGGCACATTGTTTGATCCGCTAGATTAAGCGTATGAGTTCTATGATTTGTACTCCATGGAATGTGATTTTTTGGGACTTGTTTCACCGAGAGCCGATTTAATGTTCAGAGAAAGAAATGTTTGCAAGAGTTTGTCTACATTTTAATTTGCCCATTTCTGATTATAATCCTGAATTAATATTGTTGTTTAATTACATATTGGTATATGTGAGCATGTGTTTTCTAGCAGAATTTGATCCAATGAAACTGACTAATATTTTGACCATCATTGTTTCTTAACTGAATTTTGTCTAACTGTGAAGCGCCACATTGGAAAGAACAGTTTATCAATTGGAGATTGTGTAATATAACTATCTTTACGCTCATGAATGTTTTCTAACTGAATTTGACTAATGGTACTTTGTGACCATTGTGTTTAAACCCAGCTGTTTTTGACTTGCCGTAAGAGGGGCAGCAAGCTTAGATCATCGCACTGATCTTGTGTACATAGTTAATAGTGGCAAAACACTTGACAAATCCGAACTAGCAAACTACATGTGGTGGCACATGTAGAACACAGCAGCCATTGACCCACACCATCACAGCATTAAACGTTCTTTGACAGCCCTCGTTGCGCTGCGTAGTTCACCGTTCAATCCTTCAAGCAACCTTGGGAGCTGGTGGATGGGATGGGAGCTGGTAATTGATTAATGGACTTGACACGGTGTATAGTGAGCCGCGTACCTGTTGCTGGTCAAACTATTCGGTGTTGAGGTGACTTTTGTATAATAAAGTGAATAGAAAACCAAATCTATTGCCCGATGGATTATAACAACTCACATATTCAGATTCATTTGCAACTGAACTATGCCCATATGTCCTGCTTGGTGCTTGTTGCAATGTCCAGATACATCAGTTACAGCAAACCATTTGTAATACAGTGCCTGCGTCCTCTTCGCCAGAACAACTAACCGAGAAGGTGAGACCAACTTAATGCATAGCAAGCCTGGGCAAAAACGTGCTCAGCCAGCGGCCCAGCGCATCGGTCTGAGGGTGAGACCAACCTAATGCATAGCAAGTTAAGTCAAGAAACTGCAGTTGGACAAAACAGGAAATTTAGAAGCATTCTACAGAGAGCACGAGGAAGCAGAATGAAATCTCAATCTACTTCAGAAGAGTTGTATCACACACTGCCATGTAAACAGTTTAGGTTCTTCCATGAAGCGATTACAGCAAACAAATTGTGACAGTTAAGCTGGAAAAGAAAAGGCATTTGGAAGCAGCAACTTCCTGCCTCAACTGAACCCATCTTTCACTATGCATAGGTAACAACATAACAAACAAACGCGATAACCGTGCAACGGTCAAGCCAGAAAAACAACCAAGCATCCAGCCACATAATAGGACTTAATTTGGCACAAACAACCACATCATGTAATACACTGCCTGCAGAAAGCATATCACAGCTTGCCAGAGAAGTAGGTTTTTTAGCTGCTGCAACAACACAAAGTCCAGCAAGGTACCAGCAGTCTTCTACCAATTAACTTACAGAGATCCTTTCTGCTCTTTTGTAGTACTTGAGGTCAAAAGGGTCAGCAAACTCAAAATCAGAAGCTAGTTCGTGGTTGTAAGCATGACCTGAACCGTCAGTGACCGGGCTCTTGAAGAGCTCTAGTCTGCAAGCTTTGCTGTTCCATTTTGCGCTGGTTAGAGGCTTCAGCTTCACCCTCACATTATCATCCCCCAGGGAGAAACACTCTATGGCCACCACAACCACCATCTGCTCCAGCACCCGAGCCTTCTCCGCGACGAACTTGAGGAAAGCAGCCTCGCTTCTCGACCCTCGGAACTCATAGAAGAACACCTTCTTCATGCTCTGCAGGATGCATTTGATGGGACCTCCGTCCTGCCAGAACTTGACATTCACCTTGCCAGTGGACTCTTCAGATATGGGGTGGGACTGCAGATGAAATCGATCAGGAATCTATCAACAGGGCACTGATTAATTAGATAATTAGTCTGATTCACATTTCTGACCATGCTAGATATTCACATTTCTGACCATTGCAAAAAATGCCAATGCAGCAAGTGTATCTCATTCAAAGTTAACCAATTTTACATGGACATGGAGCGTCTCCAGGTTGGGGAAGCATCTGAGGAAGCCAGGCACTTTCTTGACAGCATTGCGGACACCGAACTGCACCTCTATGCCCAAAATCTGCACACTAGGGACAATGTTCTCCTTGCTCCCAGCCTGCAATTCACCCAGGGACAGAGGATCATACATTAGCATTGTTAACTGACACGGCACATCTACACATGCAAATTAAAGTAGGATCTACCAGTACCAGCTCTTGCTCTCCTGGCTTAAGGTATCCCAGCACACGCAGTTTAGGAGCAGAGCCAATCTTGATCATAGAAGAGCGTTTCCTGGTGGAGCGGCCATTGTTCATCTTGGGGGAATCGGTGAGCTCGGCAAACTGAAAGAGCCTCTCCAGGCTAGGGGCGTCCACCACGTCGATGTCCTCCGCGAAGGAAAAGCCCAGCTGAATGCAGCGGATGCTGTGGTTGACGAGGCGGAGGCGTAATCCGCTCTGGAATCCCATGATGAAGAGCGACTCCAGGACGGGGCTTCTTTCAAGCATGAAGTCGAGATCACGGTCCTCCATGGAATTCCAATAGAGGCCGAGCTCCCGGAGATTGGGGAATCTGGCGGCGCGCGGTACGGCGGCGGTGTCCGGGAGCCTCCAGATGCCGAGATGGAGGCGGGTGAGGGAGGCGCAGCTGAAGATGGTGGCGGGGAGGCGCAGGTCTATCGGCAAAGGGCGGTTGACAAAGACGAGTTCTTGGACCCCCTTGGCGGCGAGGATGTCGAGCCAGCGGGCCATCTCGCCGCGGTGCTCCTCCATGGTGCTGCGGGTGAGGTGGACGCAGCGGAAGGGCCCCGGGTGCGCCGCGAGGACGCGGGACACCGCGTCGGTGACGGCGCGGGGAGAGGCAGCGCCGATGACGAGCTGACCGCCCGCGCCGCCGTCCGGAAGCAGGTGGCTGTCGGCGAGAGTGAGAGGAGCCGAGCGCCAGAGGGGCCGCCAGCGCGAGGCGAGGGCGGCGGTGCGCGCGGCGTCCTTGGCGGGGAGGCGGGAGACGATGTCGCGGAGGACCGCGTCGGGGAGGCGGCTGATGCGGTCGACGGCGTCGGGGGGCGAGGGCGCGGCGGAGAGCGAGAGGGTGGCGGCGGGGGAGGGGGAGACGGGCGGGTCGGGGAGGTAGCTGTAGACGTAGTGGAGAATCAGGTTATAGCCGAAATACACCATGCCGCGGTCCATGCCGCCGCGCTCCATGTGCGCGACCATGTCGCCCCAGGAGATGCCCTGGATCACATGCGAGTCGTCCATGGCCGCCGGTGGAGGAGGGGGGTGGGGGGAGGAGTCGGCGAGGGTTTCGGTTTGGAGCAGTGAGGGGAGTGGTGGCGGCCGGTGGTGGTGACTCAGAATGAGTGGTGGTGAGCTGAGATGTCACTGGCTTGATATTGGGCCAAATGTCGGAATCAGGTACCCCCTGGGCCCATGAAACAGCCGCTCTTCTCCAAGAACAAGAGAAACGAATTTGCTTCAATACATTCAATGATCCTCCAGAAAGGAATTTGCAAACGATTTCAATAATAACTTTGCAAATCACCTGGCTTCGGCACCGACTTGCCAATTAGTTGCGGCATGGGTATCGTAAACAGTGGCGGAGCCACAAAATATGTATTAGGGGGACCAAATGCTGCTAAAACAGGTTCGGAAGGGTTAAACTATTGAAAAAATAATTTTAGCAGAAAATTATTAATGATTATGCCAATGTTCATAGCAAACTAGCACCAAATTCGTGATCTTATGGGGTCAGGGTCCTTGCTGGTCCCCCTGTCTCCATCACTGATCGTAACACTCCCTTTTTCCACCATTCCGCGCGCGTTGAAGCTCAAGGAGCATAATGACATCAAGAACACACTTGATGAAACGAGAGTTTGGAAGGAAGATACCCATGATTTAAACAACCTGGTGATTAATTATTTTTCCGTATTGTTTCAGACTGAGGTACCAGAACTAGGCCCTGATGTAATTAATAAGATGAAGCTTGTGGTTGCCACCAGTGGGATAGCAAGGATCGAGCGGGGCCTTGGAAAAGCCCTAGGATGAATACATGTCACAGTGTCAAGCAATATCGAAGGTGCTATAATCAACAAAGGAATCCAGCGTCACGACTCGAGTTGTGTCCTAGGCAACTTGGGCCTGGCGATGCGTCTGATTATTTATGCCATGAACACATGCTAAATAGATCCCTTCTCCTGGACGATATACACAAGGTCACATTGCTGAGCCATAAGCGCAAGTGGTTAAACTAAGGTCAGAAAACCAAGGATATGTACTAGTTAAATTAAGCATTGTTCTAGTTCCACTCCAATGACATCACTAGCTTCACGCTAGACGTCAATCTAGTTTCAGATACACGAATTCATACATATGAAAGATTAATTCAAGGGTTTGGGGAGAAGAGAGGGGAGAGGCACGCATGGATGCTCGATTTAGGAGACTGATCTTTCAATGCATGAGGAAGACGACGAACACCAGGCTTTATTAACTGGGCTGGTCACGTTTCACCATTCTTCCAGTTGACATGCTCCTTCGAATTGGATAAGCTTGATAGACTACCCGATGGTTCTCCATGTTAGGTATAGACTCTGTGACATGCTCCCATCCATAAGAACTGGCTTGACCCCAAGCCACCTAACTGAATCTCATGTCAACCACATTGTCCTAGGTAGCCCACTCCAAAGGCAACCCTTTCCAACACCCGAGAACAGAGACATGCACTATACGATGGATGTCATCTGCACACTAAGGAATCATGTAGTGATAATGAACTTGATGATCAAGAGGATTACTTTTACTAAGAATGGAATTGACACTAAATCCTCCTATAGGGAGCTGATTGTAGACAGGGTTAAATACCCAAACAATTTTCTATGGAAGGCTAAGATGCATCCTATAATCAAAATCTTCATGTGGTTGGTTGTTAGAAATAGCATACTAATTAACCAAAGATAAATTGGCTAGAAGGATCTGGATTGGTGAAAGATCTGTCTTTTTTGTGGTAGAGAGGAGATAATAAATCACTTGCTTTGAAATTCTCAATTTCCAGAATGTTATGTTTTTTTCTAAAATGCGCCTTTAATTTGTTTGGTGCGCTTGATAACATACATGATATGTTTCAAGTGTGAATTAAGAAATTTGAAAAAAAAAAGAAAAACATCTTATGATAGTGGGGGTCTCAACTGTATTTTTGGACAATTTGGAGGTTGAGGAATAATTTTGTGTTCGAAAATATAAAATGATAAGCATTCCTTGTGTTCTTGTTAATATGATTGCTGATTGTCTTAATGATTGGATAGTTTTGCAGAGAAAGTTGGAAATCAAGACGTACCGAGCTGACGAGTAAGAATTTTCGAGTATAGCTGACGAAGTCTTTAAGTGGTACTCCCTCCGTTCGGAATTACTTGTCTCGGAAATGGATGTATCTAGAACTAAAATACGTCTAGATACATCCATTTCTGCGACAAGTAATTCTGAACGGAGGGAGTACGTGGCAGGCGGGTAGGGGTGAGTAAACTCACGGTGGGATGACGTTTCTCCTTTTTAGCTTCTCTTACTGTCAGATTTTGGTCTTGAAAACAAATGAGATGGGTCTATAATATATACCTTCAAATGTTTTGTTGGTTGGGTAAAGGTAGTGAACTGCCATGTTTTGCTATTGTGGACTACTGTGACCCGAGGACCAACATGTGAAAGCCCAGGAAATGTAATTCCCTACTTCATACTTGTAGTTTTGTTGCTTCGGTAGTAGTTTGTAAGAGACACTTTGGTTTCATTAAATAAGATCAGATATGCCGCTCTCTGAAAAAAAGTTAAATTAAGCAAAATATGTGTTTCTATTCAAACATCAAGATGGGTTAAACTTCCGAGGCCAGTTTTGTTTCCTCAAATGTCAGCACTCGATCTTGACTTGAAGATTGGTAATCAGCAACAACCTTGTACTATTTTGTGAAATTTATTATTCTATAAATGTGTAAACGTCAACGGTATTTTGTTGACCGACTGAAAGGCCAGCTCCTCACTATTTTATAGTCAAAGTGCAAATTTAGCACTGTCATGGTAGGGTTAACATGTGTTGGATGGTTGCTAATCAAGAAGGAGTTCCCCCAAAGAGGGAGACCAGCAGTTTGGATGTTGGAAGCCAAATTTGAAGTTGCTATTTAATATTAAGTTGAATGGACTGGCATGATACCATATTTGGATTCTGGAAACTGCTCTTTTCCACTTTGTGTCACATTTTTCGTTGATGTTTTCTTAATGCACTGGTATAAATAAGAGATGGTGTATTGGTGTATCTGTTTTCTCTTGGACGAGAGACCGGCGAAAGAAAAGAAAAGGGAGTAACTAATCATCGGGTACCCCTTCGGGGGAAACTCCATAGGCGCGCGGGACCGCTCCAACCGCTGCGTGGTGCGCCCAGCAGCCGCCACGTGTTGCGTGTTGGGTGCACCCATGGGAACTCATTCTTTTGCATGTGTTTTTTTTTATGTTTTCTGATTTCCTTCGTTCACAGGTTTTATCAAACAGAAATTGTTTTTACCTCGCATGAAGCATCCCGTATAAAACACAGTTGTGCTTCACGGTGAAGTATTGAAGCACAGTTGTTCTTCGGTTGTACTTCCCGGAAGTACAAGCACGGTTATGCTCCGGTGTGAAGCACAGTTGTGCTTCCTAAAACAATGAAATTGACACATATGCTTCCGACAGAAGCATGAATGTGTTTCCCCGGAATTGAAAAACACAGATGTGTGTGAAGCACAAATGTGATTCCCGAAAAGTCAAAAGGGATAATTGAGCTTCCCAAAAATGTGAAAAACATAGTTGTGCTTATGGTTTCCAATTTTGTAGGTTTATAATTTATTTTGGTTTTATGTTTTGAAAAAAAAGTTCGTCAGAACCTATCAACACGGGATCTAATTTCGAAGATCTCGACGCTAGAAATGCAATATTGAAAATGGTTCATGATTTGGACGCACGGTTCAAGACATAAACATTTTTATAAAGAATCTACCAAAAAAAGCATAAATATTCCTAGGTTGCACAAGAGTCACACATACTATGCGCCACGAGACGACGAGAAGAGTGACATTTGCAAAAGATGCCCTGTAATTAGTGATTTCGAAAAGAAAAATACATTGAAGCAGGTCATCCATTAATGGCTTGATTTTATGACCTGAATTATCAAGTGGGCCTCGGGCCACCCATAGCGTCAACATCCTAGTAATGCTACACCTAGGTAGGAGTAGATTTTTACGTCCTTTAACGGAGGAGCTCCTGTTGGCAGTGGCGGCTCCAGGAATTTGTAACCGGGTATTCATGTGTATTCATTTTTGCCAAAATCATCGCTTTTTTTTTCAAAAATTATCACTCTTTTGCCAAAATCAACACTATTTTGTAAAAATCATGGGTATTCACATGAAGACCCAGGAATACCCCTAGTGCCGCCCCTGCCTGTTGGACGCTCTTTGGGTCAAACTGGCGTCGCCACGCACAGGGAAGCAGCCTAACTGGGCCGGCCCATCGCGTTGTACCGCTGAAAAGAAAGCAAAAAAAGAGAGAGGCAGGCGCGATGGCAGGGCTCGAACCAGCGGCCAACAACTAACTCCCAGCCACTCCAACTGACAGCCATCTCCTCTACCCTATCTTTACTGTCTATCACCTGCATACCTGCTGCCCCCTTTCCATCTTCTTTCACATAGAACATGTAGTCAGCTTCAGTATATCCCTCCTCAGTCTTTATCAGTGCTAACATGTTACATAAAGGTTATTTTTGAAAGAGAAATGGTCCTCTCCAAGTTGACTCTCCCTTGAAAATGAAACCTAATTTCGCATATCTCATAATCCAAACTATTACAGAAAATAAATAGAATTACTAATTATTGAATTTGAATCATTGTCTATTATATTGATTTATTGCTTTACTTAACTATTATAATTGAATCATATATTTATCCATCAGTATTTACTTTAGGTGTAACATAAATAATTATTGTAACAGAAATAATTACGACATGTCATCTAAAAATCTGTAGGTCAACCTGACACTCATATGTAATATTCCTGTACTGCATAAGTAGAACCTTGCAGTAACGAACACTCATATGCAAAACAAACTATATATGTAACTCAACATGTCAATCAATAAAACAACGCGTTAAACAAGAAAGCAGTAAATCAACATGTAATTTGAAAGGAGTAAATTAACATGTAATTACATACCACATTGAGAGAGCAAATCCTGCCCTACTCTCTAACTCCAG